GCTCTATCCACTGAGCCAAACCGGTTTCGGCAGGACGGTAATTTTAGATAGTATTTGGAAGGTGACAATATGGGGGCCAGTGAAGGAGTCCTGATGAGTGGTTCCATGGAATGGGACTCTAACAGAGGGAGGATCCCCAGAAAGAACTATAATAGAGTTGGAGGGGGCGAAGTGCTATGGAAGAGGAGGTTGATTAGGGAAACTTGCAGAGCTTAAAGGGTGGGACCAAAAGGAAAGAGAATCAGGTGGGAAGAGGTGAATCCAAGTGTGGATGACAGGCCAGAGCAGGGAGTCCCTCACCCCAGGTCTTCCAGACATAAACAAATCTTCTCCTCTGAGACCAGGGGCCTGATGGGCAGGCCTCCCCATCAGGGAAGATGCAGGTGTCATCAAGTTCCTGGGGGTACACTGGCTGTCCTCCCCACACCTGGCTCCCTGAAAGGTAGATACAGAGTCATCTTTGAATCCTGGCATTATACAGAACCGCTAATACAGCTCTCAGGGGGGCTCTGGGAATACGCCCTAGCCGCAAAGTATATTCCCCTTGGTATAACCCATTTAGGGTGGTAGTGGAAAGAATGGAAACTACAATTAAAAGTTCATATGTATGCACTTACATAGGAAAGAGACTGGAAGGCGCTATATCAATATATTTAGAGGGATTTGCTCTAGCGAATGGGATAAAAGTAGAAATAACAGCACCCGCTAACATTTATTGAGACTTTCCTATAGGCTAGGGCAGGCCTTGTGCTAAATTCTTTATGTACTATCACATTTTAGTCCTTACAACAACCCTTCACTGTAGGTATCATCCCCATTCTACAGATAAGGGAACGGGAGCACAAAACAAGTATTTGCCCAGGATCACATACTAGTAACAAGTTTAAATGTAAATCCATCCAACTTCTAAGTCCACTGGGTCTTCTGTCCCCCATTTGGGTGACTATAATCTGACTCCCCCCCCCACACACTTTATTTGTGTTTTCTACTTTTTCTACAATGAATATGCATTGCATATATAATTTGGTTTTTGTGTTTTTAAACCAGAGGTGGAAGGGGACATTCCCTGAGCTCATTAGGGGTACTGGAGAATTGGGACAGAGGAAGGAGGGCCTGGGATAGAGGTACTCACCATTGACGATGGTGTCGTTGGACCAAATGACCTGCCCATCTGGCAGCACCTTTTGGCTTTCAGGGAAGTGCAGGGAAATAGAGAAGGAGACATTTGCCCCAACCAGCGTAGGCCCATCACTACGGACCTTCAAGGCCACCGGGCCTCCTGGAAAAGGCAGTTGCATTAGCTGGGATTTCTTGGCCTCCCCTCCTCATATACCCTTCCCCTTCTTCTCAAACTACATTCAACCCAGTTCTCTCCCCACCCCATTTCCACCGTGCCCTCCCCGGAATTTGCCAAGTTCCCACCTCTCCAGCAGTCAGGCCCCTGGTTTTCTGTCCACTCAGGATACAGCTGCTTGTTCCAGCCTTTCGTTCTGAGCGGCCTCGAGACACCAAGCAAGTCTTGGCCCATGGATCCTAAAAGGAAAGTGCCGTGAGGGCCCCAGGACCCTCACTCAGTCCCTTCTCAGGAAATAATAGTGTCCCATGTCACTCCACTCACTCTCACATTCAAAGTGCATTTTAATTTACGAATGTTCTCTAGGTACCAGGTACAAAGGACTATGCTAGGTACAAAGAACTTAAGGAATGAATAAGACATAGCTCTGAAGGGATTCAAGGTAAAGTATAGGAAATAGACATATATGTAAATTGCTATAAATCAAGGCATGGAGGCATGGAAGCACATGGCATGACCGGGAACTACTAGCAGTCTGGTTAATGCACACTGGGAAAGACGAGACCAAAAAGCTGCCTTGGGGGCTTTGAGTGTCCGGTGAAGGAGTCTGGCCTTTAACTCTATAGGCAAGGCCACCTCAGAAGATTATTTTATTGAGCTATAACCCACACACATAAAATTCACCATTCAGAATTTTTTTAATATGATCAGTCAGTGTTTTATTATTTGTTTATTATTTTTTTAATTATTGGTAATCCCACTTTATTTATTTATTTATTTATTTATTTATTTATTTATTTATTTTACAGAGAGGAAGGGAGAGGGATAGAGAGCTAGAAACATCAATGAGAGAGAAACATTGACCAGCTGCCTCCTGCACACCCCCCACCAGGGATGTGTCCACAACCAAGGTACATGCCCTTGACCAGAATCGAACCTGGGACCTTTCAGTCCGCAGGCCGATGCTCTATCCACTGAGCTAAACCAGTTTTGGCCAGACTGTGTTTTAGAAGGATAACTGACAAACCGTGAGGAAGATGGATCAGAAGTAGGCAGAGGTTGGGGTTGGGAACAGCAGACAAATTTAGTGCAACTGACTGAGAAAAAGAGATGATGGATCTCTATATGCCTCATCCAGATCCAACAACTATCGCATTTGCCACATTTGTTTTTTCTTTATGTTGTTATTATTGTTTGTTTATGTTGCTTTATTTTTTATTGAATTTATTGGGGTGACGTTGGTTAATAAAATTATATAGGTTTCAGGTATACAATCCTATAATCCATTATCTGTATATTATATTGTGTGTTCAGCACCCCAAGTCAAGTCTCCTATTTGTTTGTTTTTAGTTAAAGTCTTTAAAAGCTAAACCCAAGCATCTTGTTATTTTAACCCTACAAACTCAGTATGCATCTGTTTTTTAAAATGAATATTTTATTGAATAAGCATCACTTCACACTAGACAAAATTATCAAACCATAAAAATTTCATTAATATCTAAAAATGGCTTATGACATAAAAAAAATCAGCATCAAAAAAGTAAGCACAGTCTTTTAAGAGCCTCAGATGGACAAGAATGAGTAGAATGTTTCCAGACTTACATTAAGGAACATAGTAAGAAAAAAAGACTTAAAACAGCATCATGAATGAGGAAAGTCAAATCAAGAAGAATTTTCTTGAAGTCTGTGAGAAAGAAGAAATTGAGAGTCCAGTTGATGTGGCTCAGTGGTTGAGCATCAACCCATGAACCAAGAGGTCACTGGTTTGATTCCCAGTCAGGGCACATGCCTGGGTTTCGGGCTTAGTCCTCAGAAGGAAGCGTGCAGGAGGCAGCCAATTGACATCAATGTTTCTATCTCTCTATCCTACTCCCTTTCTCTCTCTTTCTCTCAAAAATCAATAAAAAGACATTAAAAGAAAAAAAAAGAGGAAACAGATATGATGCATGTATTTCAGCGTAGCAGAAACTAGCCTCACTCCATTTGTACTTTGTACTGGAAATCTAGTTGATTCGGCTGGGGGAGGATCTGGAATCTTCACTGAGTATCTTACTACTAGAGCAAGAGAATCATAAGATGCCCCATTCTTTTCCCACTCCCAGCCCTCCCTCCTCAGAGCCCCTAGGGACATTCCAGATCCTCTCACCACTCCTCGCCCCCACCTCTTGCTCCTGTCACGCGGCTCCAATCCTCCAGAGCCCTTTCATGTGATGCTCAGCTGAGACCCCTCTGCCTGCCTTTTCCATGCACAGGACAAAAGCCTGGCCTGTGTTCACCCATCCCCACCCTACAGAGGTTTGATGGTGCCTCCTTACCCTTTTTATCCAATACCACATTCTCCTTCCTACTTCTCACTTTAAGTACCTTTTCCCAAGTGCCTGAGACATCACCTAAAAGAGCCTCCCACTCATTTCTCCCCACCCCCCTGGAGCCCCTGCCATGAATTATGGCCATGAAGACCCACCATTTTCTTCTTGCCCTTCCAAGCGGATGGAATTACTCTCAGACTCAGTCCCAGATTCAGACTTCAAGTACACACATCCTTACTAAATCAAATGAATGAGAAGCCTGAAGTGTTGCGAGTATCTCCCATTAGGAGGGAGGAAAGCAGACAGAGCAGGTGTGCAACCCAAATGCACTTATTCATATCCACACGCCCCACACTAACCTTCTGTGGCCCCCACAGCCAGAAGAGCACCCAGCACAGCCACACGGAGAAGGCATTTTAAAGGAACCATCCTGTCTTTCTTCCAGCAACCAAAGGCACTGAGGGGCTGGGACAAGCCCCTATATAAGAAAGGGGTACTCATTTGCATAGTCCTTCCTCCCCTCCCTCCAGGGGAGGTCTGGGAGGGGCTGCTGGAGAACCGAAGAACTGACGAGGGATCCTGTTCCCTAGACACAAGTTCATTCTCATCTGGACTGAGAAAGAATTGGCCGAAGGGCAGCTACGCAACAGGTACTCCACATGCACAATTCACCATGGGAGATTAAATCAATTTGTTGTTTGAGTCAAACCAGGATCCTCAAAAAGACTGAAACAGAGATCCTACATCCAAAAACAGAGAGAGAGAAAGAGAGAGAGAGAGAATCCCCAGCTTCCTGCTTTTCTTTATTTACTTAATTAAATTTATTATTCAAGAGAGCACGCCCCAGCTTCCTGCTTTTCAAAGGAGGCCCCAGGGACAGGTGGCATTTAATCTTTTTTAAAAAAAAATATATTTTATTGATTTTTCACAGAGAGGAAGAGAGGGATAGAGAGTTAAAAACATCGATGAGAGAGAATCATCCATCAGCTGCCTCCTGCACACCCCTTACCGGGGATGTGCCCGCAACCAAGGTACATGCCCTTGACGGGAGTCGAACCTGAGACCTTTCAGTCCGCAGGCCCGACGCTCTATCCACTGAGCCAAACCGGTTTCGGCCAGGTGGCATTTAATCTTAGATCGATGTGTATTTTCCCCCAAGAGATCAGGGAATTCCTGCAAACCCAGGACACGTGGAGGCAACTGGAGCCCAAGTCAGGTTAGTACAATACTTGGGAGGAGGTGCGCGGCCTCCCCGCCGAGGCAGGAACCGGCCCTAAAGCCTCTTCGGAACCAAACTTGCGCCGGGCGGCTCCTCAGCGGCGAGGGCGCGGGATTCGCCCCTCCGCGCTGACGTCGGCCAATAGGAAGGGCCGGGGGCGGAGCCATGGAAACGCGGGAAGGAGAGGCGGGGCCTGGGGCGGCGGTGGGGACCCGGAGGGAGGCGGCAACATTGTTTCAAGTTGGACAAATTGACAAGAGCGAGCGATAGCCCTGCGTTCCATCCGGACCTGGAGCCGCGGAGCCGGGCCCCGCTTCCCCCTCCTCCGCCCCGGAGAGCCGGGGCCCGCTGTCTCCAGGGTTCCCAGGCCCCCGCCCCGGGGCCCGGCTGACCCTGCCTCGCTGAGCGCTCCATGGAGAACTTCCAAAAAGTGGAGAAGATCGGGGAGGGCACGTACGGAGTGGTGTACAAAGCCAAAAACAAGCTGACGGGGGAGGTGGTGGCGCTCAAAAAAATCCGCCTGGACACGTGAGTGGCCTCCGTCCTGGGACTCGCACCCCGGGAGCTCCGGGAGGGCCCCCGCCCCCGCCCCCACCCCGCGGGCGGGTAGCCGTCCAGGGACCGGAAGGTAGCTGGGAGGGACTTCTTTCGAAGGGGAGAAGGGAGTTGGAGGACGGTGGAGGGTTTCCCTCCCGAGATTACGGGGTCGTGTCGAATCCGTGGGAAACTTGCTCCCCGGAGCCTCGGGGAACTCCCCCAAATGGGCAGTCCGGGAGGCACAGGAAGGGAAAGGAGGCCTCTGAGGTGGGGGTCCAGGACCCTCCGTGGAGGTGGGTTTTGGGGGAACCGGTGAAGAGCACTTTTCTGAACAAAAAGAGCCCCCCTCGCTGCCCCAGCCCCACCCCCCTCTTAGAATTCTCTCCCTGTTTCAAAAGAATGGCCGTTGAACCTCACTGGCCCCTCTAGGGAGGCTGGGTGCTGCCACTCCCTTTTTTCCCTGTTACCTTCTCTCCTTCTTTACCAGGAAGGCTTTCCTCACCTACCTGTGTGTGTGTGTGGGGGGGGGGGAGAAAGAAATAATGGCCTCCATGTGTCCAAAAGCCACTCTCTGTCCCGGATGAATGAATGAACTACAGCACACTTTCTCTTCTCTCAGTTTACTAGGGGATGCTGGGGTGGCGTCTCCTTAGGGGAAAAGAATGCCTGGGCTGGGAGAAAAGGGATATTTGTAACCACATTCCCATCTCTGTTTCCCAATCTCTCCAAGTGAGACAGAGGGTGTACCCAGTACTGCCATTCGGGAGATCTCTCTGCTTAAGGAGCTTAACCACCCAAATATTGTCAAGTAAGTATGCAAATGGGAGGTGCTTTGATAGGAAGGAGGATGTCTTCCGTCTGTGTCATCGGGCAGTCTCGCTTTCTCACCTCCATTCCTGGACCTCCCTTTCCTAGACTGCTGGATGTCATCCACACAGAAAACAAACTCTACCTGGTGTTTGAGTTTCTGCACCAAGATCTCAAGAAATTCATGGATGCCTCTGCTCTTACTGGCATTCCTCTTCCCCTCGTCAAGGTAATCCTCATCAGCTCCTCCCCAACAGGGTCATGTCCTGTGAGGACTGAAGGCCAGAAAATCAGACCGAATGAAGAATTGTGATATTGGTTTCCCAGCCCTCATCTTCCTATACACACACACACACACACACACACACACACATACACACCTCTTTCTTTTGTGGCTCTTTCACTGTTCATTATGCTTATTAACCCTGGGGCTGGGCAGGAGAATCAAAGTTGAAACTCTAGTGAGTCAACATAACAGCTCCGGTAGAAGGTCAGATGAAACAGATAAATGGGACTTGAGGACACTTGGTACATTCCTCCAAAAAAAGTCCTTTTACCTGTTTGGTGGGAGAAATAGCCAGTGAGTCTCTAGTTTCTGTATTACAGCTGGGTTGTTTACTCCCCGAACTACTTTCAATCTATCAATAGGTGTTTATTCAACACACACTTATAATCTAATATAGTAAAGGCGTTAGTAGAGCTTTGGAGGTCGTAAAGAAACATAATTCTCTCTCTCTCCATTGTCAGAGCTATCTGTTCCAGCTGCTCCAGGGCCTCGCTTTCTGCCATTCTCACCGGGTCCTGCACCGAGACCTCAAACCTCAGAATCTGCTTATCAACGCCGAGGGGTCCATCAAACTAGCAGACTTTGGACTAGCCAGAGCCTTTGGAGTCCCTGTTCGTACTTACACCCATGAGGTCAGTCCCTCTCCGCATTTCTTCTCTGAACTTCCTGGGAGGTGTTAACAAGGACATTCAGAAAGTAACTAAAAATATTTAGACAGCAGTTTCTCTCTCACTAGAGCAGGGGTAGGGGACCATTTTTCTGGCAAGGGCCATTTGGATATTTATAACCTCAATTGAAGGCTATGCAAAATTATCAACTTAAAAAATTAGTCTGCTAGCCTTAGCCGGTTTGGCTCAGTGGATAGAGCAGCGGCCCTCAGACTGAGGGAACTGGCTTCAATTCCAGTCAAGGGCACGTACCTTGGTTGCAGGCTCCATCCCGGGTCCTGGTTGGGGTGTGTGCAGGAGGCAACCAATTGATGTGTCTTTCTCTCACATGGATGTTTCTTTCTGTCTCTCCCCTTCTACTCTTTCTAAAAACCAATGGAAAAATATCCTCAGGTGACTATTAACAACAGCAACAAACCAGTCTGCTAATCAAACATTTAATTAACTCACCCCTAATGCCTTGGCAGGGCCAGACCAAATGATTTCTTGGGCCTTATAAGGCCCACAGCTGGACATTCCCTACCCCGGCACTAGAGGGAGAGTATTTTTGACGATTCAGGAGGTCTTAGAGTACTCGCAGGGTGCATACTGCAGAGCGAACTGGGCTTTGATAGATACCAAGCCAGGTGAGCTGGATGGCACACCGTTAAAATGATGACCACTTCTCTCAAGTTTTCCATGAGGGTCACAAATTGGGGGTTCAGAAAATACGTTCCCAGAGTCATGGCGAGGCCCGTTCTGGGCTACGATGTATGTAGTCATGTTGCTGAGGGAAAACCAGAGGCAAGGAAAGGGTGGAGGGAAAGAAGCTGCTTGTTAAGAGGCCGGGAGTTAGCAGAGTAGCGCCGGGGAACTGAGATGGCATCTCCATGCCTCATATACCAACCCTCCCCTTCCTGCGTTTGTCCTCAGGTGGTGACCCTGTGGTACCGAGCACCGGAAATCCTTCTGGGCTGCAAATACTACTCCACAGCTGTGGACATCTGGAGCCTTGGCTGCATCTTCGCTGAGATGGTACAGATACATGCCCGAGTTCCACCCTGCCCTCTCCTCCCCGCATTCAACAACAGAACTGTTTCTTGGCTCAGATCCGTGGCCCTTCTGCTATCACAGGGCTCTTTCTCTGGAGTAGCACTGCCAGGGTGGCGGGGAAAGGACCTTTGTCCCTGATGTCAACCACAATGCTAGGATATCCTCACATAGCTTTAGCATCCTCGTACACCTCTGATCCCCAAGTTGAGCGAAGTAATTTCTGTAGCTGCTTTAGCTTTGGTCTGCATATATTTGGTAGAAGGAGCTCCGTTGAGTGCTTCCTTCATTTGGCCTGGAGACCTTACTGTCCGGTGTGAGGAATGCGGTGAAGCCACCTGTGTTCAGTGGAGCCACATTTTTTACTTAAACTGCAAACTTAGTTCATGTCCCCACCCAACCTCTGGCTTTTTAGACCAAAGGATCCCTGAGGCCCAGCCTTCACATGTGAACTGTCGTCCCATTTAATACAGTCATGGAATGAGCTGAGTTTTAAAAATCAAATCAGCAATTTGTTTTATGGTCCTTCATCTGGGTTGTAATGTGCATTTATCCCCCAGTGCATTACTTTACGATTGCCCATATTCCTCTCTCAATTCATCAAAAAATATTTGTTAAGCACCTAGTGTGTGCCCAGCACCATGCTAAGTGCTGCGGGGAACACAGAAGAAATGGAAGACACAGTCTCTGCACGCTGTGCTCCCATCTAGAAGTGGCTGCGTCACAAGGAGGGGTGTCTACCCCACACCCCGTGAGTGGCTTGGGATCCCTTTGCTACACGTCAGTGGCACCCCAGACATTCACCCCCTCCCGGACCCACCCAGCCTTGGGGATCTGCAAAACCATGGTTGGGGGAAGGGAGGAGGGGCGAGGAGACAGATGAAGGGACTTTATTGTCTCAGGCTCTGTGTGACCGGCCCCATGAAAGGCCCCAGGGAGGGAGTCATGGGGCCCTCTGACCTTCCACTGCCTGCGGGAACCTCCGGCACACAAGGGGCAGTGTGACTGACGTCAGTGTGGGCCTTGGCTTTTCCTCTTTCCCCACGTTCAGGTGACTCGCCGGGCCCTGTTCCCTGGAGATTCTGAGATTGACCAACTCTTCCGGATCTTTCGGACTCTGGGCACCCCGGATGAGGTGGTTTGGCCAGGAGTTACTTCTATGCCTGATTATAAGCCAAGTTTCCCCAAGTGGGCCCGGCAGGATTTTAGTAAAGTCGTGCCTCCCCTGGATGAAGATGGACGGAGCTTATTGTCGGTGAGAGCCGGGGTGGGCTCCCTTTTCTCACTGACTACCGCAAGGCAGGGTTTTCCCTGGAGGGAGGGAGGGAGGGTCAGACCCTGGATCCAGTGTCCGTGTTTCCCCAGCTCCTGCTTTGGGTCTCCCTGTTGGCATATCAACTGAATGGGCAGATATAGGGAGGAGGGAAATGGGAACTCTGCCTTGGGTAAAATGATTCTTGTTTCCTGAATTGTTGGGATACTTGCTGTCTGTTAAGCCCACTCTCACTGAAGTCAATGTACATCTTTCCCTCCAGCAAATGCTGCACTATGACCCCAACAAACGGATTTCAGCAAAGGCAGCTCTGACACACCCTTTCTTCCAGGATGTGACCAAGCCAGTACCCCATCTTCGACTCTGATGTCTTTCTGCAAGCCCCCAGTCTCACCCTCCCCTCCAGTGGTGGGCCTGATCTGGCTTGGCCTTGGGCTGTGGGTGCCCTCTACCTTGTCTGGCTGCCTTAACACTCACTCACCTTCCTTTCTTAGCCAGCCAACTCTAGGGACACAGGGGTTGGAGGGGGAAAAGGAAAGGAAACTTCAGTATTAGATGCACTTAAGTCAGTCTCTACCAACCCTCCTTAGTCATTGCTAAGGAGAGCCGGTGTTTAAAAAAAAACAAAGACTGACTCTTTCCTCTCCCCCCACATGGGATTTGCCATTCTAGCCTCTGAAAGCCCCACAGTTATTGTTTCCTGTGTTTGAGATGACAGAGGCCCCAAACGGCCTGTGTTTGCTAAGCCATTGATGACAGGGGCAAATTGGAATTTTGAAAACAAGCAAAACAAAAACAGAGAGAGGGGCCTGTTTTGAAAAATTAAGTTAAACAATAGATCCAACCAGTTTATACTGTAGTTTTGGTGTTTGGTCTCACCTAACAGTCTGAGAGTCCCAGGACTCCCAGCCTCTGCCATCCTGTCGGGGCTACAGTAGAAATGATTGCCCCCAGTGCCCTGTCCGTCCCTCCTGTCCCTCCTATAGGCAGGGGCTGTCTGGGAGGCTCCGGGACAGGGATTATGCTTCACAGCGGCCTTATGAGGCAAGTGAAAGCTATTGGAGTTTTTCTCTTTTAAAATTCTTAGTTCTTCAGGTGGCAGGGCACAGCTTCCCCTGAAGGCCACCCCCATAGGAGTGGAAGTAAAGATTAGACCTCATTTTGAGAATACTGACACTTTTTTTAGGGCTGTGACTGAGTGGGAGCACGGAGATAAAATATTTCTTTAAAAGAAGGATGAATAATTATATTTATATTTCAGGTTATAGTAGTTTTTTAGAGGGACTGGGTGAATTTGTTGCCACGTGCACCTTGGGGTTTTGTAATGCAAATGTTTTAAAAAAAAAAGAGTATTGTTTTTCTTTTCTCTGACCTCTTGTTCTTGTGTGTTCTTGCTATTAACATTATTTGTAATTCATTAAAAAAAAAGTTTCTAGTGTTATAGTTCATCTTCCCGCCTTTACTTTGGTGTATTTATTGAAAGAATGGTGTGAGAGAATGTGAATGTGTATATATGATAATTGGTTCAGACCCCCACTTTTCCTAATCTCTCTGTGCAGGACTACTCACCCCACCCCATCTTCACTTCTGTGATGAAATTGGGATAGGGCTGAGGGTAGTCAAAGTGGGAATTATTGCCCTATTTTACAGCTGGAGAAACCGAAGCCTTCATATTTCCCCCACACACCTGCATCTTCCCCTTCGGCTTCCCTCCCCACCCCTACCCCTCTCCCCCAGCACGCCTCGAACCACAGACTCATGTACTGAGTTCTGGAATTGCGGTGTTAGGAAGAGCTTGAGAGTAGTGATATGACTGGAAGTGGGCTCCGTGGAATTCACCTCGACACCGCATTTCCCAGTAAGCTCGTCATTTCTCCTTTTTGCTGCATATCACAAACACCAAAGTTTTCTAAATTCACTTTATTCACCTTTGTAATACGATTCATAATACTGTCAGTTGTCTGGATGAAAATTATGAAGGGGCTAAAGTCTCCCCAAGCTACCGGTTCGTGAGGCTACCATTGTCTCACCTCATCAAAAACCATCTCAGACCGCCCCCCCTAAAATTTCCTGTACTCTGAGCCCCCCTAAAAGGAGGAAGCCCTAACTTAAAGGCTACTTAAATTCCCAGGCTCGGGCTCCCAGGAGAGGTATTTCCCTTCACGCCCGCAAACCGGCCCTAGAGGGAGGGGAGCCAGTCAGTCCCTGCCAAACCCGGGGGGAGGGGCGAAGGTCAGCGGCTTCCTTCCACCCCGCCTTGCCTGCCATTCAAGTTCCGAACTTCCGCAGGACTGGCTAAAGTTTCCCTTAGGCCCGCCTCCGTCGCTCACCTGATTAGATGTTTATGAGCCAAAAGGCGGGGTCATGAGGGTGTCAAGAGTTTATTGGTTGATGTATACGCCTGTCAACAGTGTACCGCCTCCTGTCTCGGGGAGCTCCCTCGTCAATGGCTCCTCACCTTGTCCATATTGAAGGTTTCCCTCTTCCTATTGGCCCGGGGACACGCCTGTCCGGGCCCAGGCCCGTCCTCGTTGGTGACAGCGCCGATGCAGGCCCGCCTTTCTCCGGGGGATTGGCGGAGCGGCGCGCGCAGAGCCCACCCTCGATGGTAGGCGTAATCGCGCCATTGGCCGGGGCCCCCCGCCCCAGGGCGAGGAGGAGGAGGAGGGGCCGAGGGTTTGGTTGAGCTGCGGCTGTTTGTCTGTTCGACACAGGCTTGGGCCCGACGGGGGAGACGGAGCCCCAGGTACCGGGCTGATGGAGCCCTGCAGGGTAGGGGCGGAGGCGCCCGGGAGAGGAGCGCAGCCCGTCCTGAGCGCGGAGGCGGGTCTGGGCCTCCGCGATGGGGTCCGAGCGGCCCACTGGAGAGGGGAGAAGGGGGCCGGGCCCCGGCAGGCCTTAGGGGGGCGCTGGGGAGGGGGCTAGGCGGGCCGGGAGCCCCAAGTTGGCGAGGCTGGGCGCTGCCGGCGGCGGGGCCGGGAGTGGGCACGCGAGGCCCGGGTCTGTGTGAGGGCAGGGCAGGCCTCGTTGAGCAGCGCGGAGAGGGAGGAGCTGGAGGAAAGGCCGGGCAGCCGGTGAGGTAAGCCCATCGGCGGGGAGGTGAGGAGGGGTCAGCCTCAACGCCCGGCCCCGAGCGCAGCCGGGGCTGGCGCTCTGGAGATGTCTACTGGGCAGGGCCCCAGAAGCGTTCTTAGCTGGGTAAGAAGCATTCTTTTCCGGGGAAAGTGACTATTATAAAAATAACGAGGGCGCCCCAGAGTTGAGCTGAGAGGAGGATTTGGGTTCAGCGAGGCGAGCGAAGCAAGCTTTCCTAGTCTAGAAGGCGAAGGTGGTTGGGGAAATGGAGGCAGGGCCTGGTGTCACCGTGGAGCTCCTGGGATTGCTCCACGGTGGGCTGGGGGCTCTGGGGCTTGGGAGGACCCACTCTTTTGTCCCCATGGAGTGCTGAGATGTGATCGCTTGAAGTTTTGGGTACTCCCAGGGTAGCCAATGAAAACAAACGTGACTTTTTTTTTCTTCTTTTCCTGTGACTGTTGGCTGTTCCAAACTCAGACCCTACACGTTCCCTTGGCTTCAGCTGGAGAGTGCACTCTCTGTTTCTTCCTTCCAGCCTCAGATGGTTTGGGGTGCAGTCCTTGTGCAAGAGCTAAGAAGTTGGACTTGGGAGATGTTTGTTTGTTTTCCCTCTCAATAATGTGGTCTGTGGTGCATTCCATCGCTCTAACTGGGAAGTGGGAAACGAGCAATCCCATCTGCCCTAGAAAGGCTCTGAGGGTCTCCCCAGCCACCAGGAGATCTTCCAGCCACAGTTAGTGAAACTTTGTAGGACTTAGACGTGTTTGTTTCCCAGGTAGGTAATGATGAGGTGGAACCAACCCTGGAAATATGAAGTGATACCACTTGAGGAAGGGATTTGGGGAAGAGAAATTCTATTCCCCAAGATTGGCATCACCCCTGTTCTTTGTTTACTTCTTCAGGAGCCCAGGTTAGACATAGCAAACAGCCCTAGCTGGTTTGGCGCGGTGGGTAGAGCGTTAACCCGCGGATTGAAGGGGCCCAGGCTCAGTTCCAGTCAAGAGCACAGGCCCCGGTTGCCCATGGGATGCCCAGTAGGGGGCGTGCAGGAGGCAGCCGATCAGTGATTCTCATCATTGATGTTTCTATCTCTCCCTCCTTCCTCTCTGAAATCATTAAAAACATTTTAAAAAAGAAAAGAAATAGCAAATAGTAAGGCACTTGGGGAAAGGGGCGAGTAGAGAAAAGGAAGATGTTTTACTAAGGCTCAGGGGTTCCCACCTCTCATATATTTTTAATGGTCTTCTGACCTTAAGCTCCCATAGATTGGATCTTGTTGGGTTTTCCCTTATACTTCCTCCTTTTTTACCAATGTATTTTACAACGACGTTTCTTCTTAATGTGAAAAGTAATATGTACATATTGTTAAATATTCAAGCTGTACATAAGTGAAAAAAGTATAAATCTTCCCACACATAACCTCACTTATATTTCATCCAGAAAGGTCAGAGATAAAGAGGCAGCAGATGAGGCTAACCTTGCTCTGCTTTGGGGAATGGGCCACCAAAGGCAGTTTTGTTTATGTTCCTTCCAAACTCTGATCTCTTTCTTATCAGTTTCCCTTCCGCGATGATACTGTTATTTATTGTGCTCCTTTCACAGTTCTTCTTGTCTTGCTTCTATCAAATTCAGACAAGCAAAGAGCTGTACTCTGGGTTATCCCGCACCTTCTTCACACACACCCCAGTTGTGCAGTGGATATCTTAGAAAATGCCCAGCTAGATGGCCAAAACTTTTTTATGAGCAGGGGGAAAAAAAAACCACATTAAGGTGAGTCATTTTGTTTGGGAGAACTAGTGGCATCTCTGCTAACATGAGAAATTTGAGACCTCTATCTTCTTGTTCATGGTCTCTGCCTGTGTATGTTATATGACTGTCCCTTCGTTATCCTAAAAGAAGATGATGGTTCTCCCTTGTATCTTTCTATGAGAAGCTCCCAAGTTTCTCTAGGTAAGAAATGGGTTGTCCTTTAGCACTACTGGGACATTTCATACTACCTCCTTGTTGAATTTATCCTTACTGGCTTTAGAAGGCCTCTGATAGGCCCAGCCTTTGTACAGAAGCCTTGATTGTGTCCCCTAGGAGTTTTTATTTTCTCTCCTGCTGAGCCAGTCCTAGAGAAAATTGTAGGAGTTTGTATGTGTGTGTTTTAATCTTCTCTAGACTTTGCCATGTTCTACATCCTGGCGATATCCTGTCCCTTTCTTTCTATATATATTTTTTGGTCTTTTCTGCCTTCCCCTTAATCAAAGCCTACCTTTAAGAAATTGCTTCATATTAAGGTATAAGTAACAAATAGTCACTTAAAGTATTAATCTTCCCAAGAGTTTTTGTTTCATAAGAAGGAGCTAAGGAGTGGAATTATCAATGTAGAATTTCAAACACAAATCTTGGGTTACAAAAATTTACTTGGAGAAGAGGGCTTTCCTATTGCCCTTGAAGTCATACCATATATCTTCTCTTACTTTGCCCAGGATTGCTCTTTACTTGTTTATGTTTGTAGATAAGGATTGACTTCTGAGGAAGCAGAGGGTAGGAGAAATCAGTGTGTAGCTCCTATTCCTAAGGCCTTTCAGATTGGAAAGTAAACAAAGTGTAAGACAGTGACTTAGGGAAATGCAACAGCTTTTTAGGAGGAAAGATACCTTAAAACCCTACACAATATACTCCCACTTCCCAAGAATGTTTTAGGAAAGATTTAGTCATTGACTGGATAGTAACTGAGTAAGGAGCCACCCATGTGAGCAAATTTCTGGATCAGGTTGTAGTTTCTGTTTAGGGACTGGGGGTACCTTTTCAGTGTCCTTAAGCTCTGGTGGTAAGAGTATTTGAGTGTTTGTATGTGTGTGGTTTTTGTTAATCCTCACTCGATATTTTTCCATTGATTTCTTTAAAGAGAGTGGAAGGGAGAGGAAGAGTCATACTAGCAGAAACATTGATGTGAGAGAGACACATCAGTTGGTTGCTTCCCACATGCCCTTCCTAGGGATGAAGCCTGCAGCCGAGGTATGTGCCCTTGACGAGGATTAAAGCCAGGACCCTTCAGTCCCCAGGCCAATGCTCTATCCACAAATATGAGGTGGTGTTTTGTTTTGTTTTTTCATTTGTATTTCTCAAGTTCAAGAATTAATAGAGATAATGACCCAAAGTTTTTTGAGCATTAATATCAACTGAAAATTCAGGGAATTTTTTTATTTAGCCATAGTTGCTTCAGTGTTAGGGTGGAAGGGCCACATATTCGGTGTGATTAGGCCATTTGAGGCATAGTAACGGGTGACAGGAAAAGCAGTTAGCCCATATGAGTTGCAACAGTACCTTGTGGGTTGAGTCTCTAGGGGGCCCTCCATCCAAGGGAGATCACAAAGCAAGAC